AACTTCAGGATATTTGAATCAATAAAACTTCTTGATCAAGGGCAGTATGACATAAATAAGCTGTCATATTTATTAGCATTGCAGGGTGTATATGCATTATTAAAAGAGAGGCAAAAATGAGCCTTTCAGCACCAGCTCTTTAGTGTCAGTCACACCGAATACAATCGCACTTCATAAACACACCTGCTAATAGATTTGTCTGAAACATGAGCTCGAACACAATTCCTCCCACTCAGAAAAACAAAGAAAAGGTGACAAGAAGATTGGCAGGACAAAAGAGAAAAGTAAAGAGGGAAAAAAGCAGTAGCTGAAGATGACAAGCAGGCCAATAGAGATTTATACATAGAAGACGCACCGAGTCCCATATAGCGGGTGAACTCTTTAATCCTCTGTCAGAAGAAGTGGAACAGAGGGGTGAAATGTATAGAGACACTTTCATTTCTCTCCCATTTCCATAATGAAGCACCAAAGGAAGAAGATCTAATAACACATCAAAACATCCCACCAGTACAAAAATTGCAAGATGTCAATTTAAATCCCTTCATTGTGCTCTTTGAAGTTTGCTGAGACCTGCATTGCTTTCATTTCACATATTTAAAGCTTAAAAGAACAGTCTACCATAGGTTGCTGATGATGCTCTGTTAAAAGCACAGGCATGGTGACAATGGTTTGAAAAGACGCATTTATTCCGTCGGTCACCTGCTTTTAGATGAGAGGCAAATTACTACTAATAGTAAAGCACAGTCTGACCTTCTGACTCAAAAGTCGATATTAAATATGGTTTCTACTGCAAAAAACAAGCTCTGTTTACTGCTTCAATGTGCTATTTACTTTCTAATGGACGCAAAGCAAAGAATATTTAAGTAAAGAAAGAAAACTGGAGAAAAAAACCCTGCAATGGGAGTACTGTTAGTTCATAATGAACAGCTAGACAGTTGGAGAAAAATGGAGGATTTAGTTGAGATTAAAGATCTGGTTAATAACATTAAAAAATTCAACAAACCTAACTAAAAGCTAACTTTGAAACATTTTTGATAAACAGTACCGTTTGCTTCATGAGTATTTGCAGTCACCTGCTTTAACCACTGACACTCACGGTTCTTCTCACACCGGTTGCTGGTAAACTTGCATCTTCCCACTTACTCCTTTTCTTGTCCATTTTCATTTTCATCAATTAGCTTTCACATGACGTCATTATTGGCGAGCCCACCAGGAAAGGAGAAACAAGACTCTTCTCTGGTAACTTCCAGTTATTTTTACCAAGTTTCTTTCACCAGAATTTATGGTTGCTAGCAAAGCATTAAGTATGGCACTGTGCGTAACAGCACTCATCCTGAGTGGGGATTTTTGCTTCAGTGGGAAATCTACACCATAACTATGTCACAACTGCAAGCCATCTGAGACCCTACAACGTAACCGCCCTTGAACTGTAACTACATATTGCGCCGACGCAGCAGCTATTGTGATCGGCCTGTTCAGTAACCACCGTCTCCACAACAAACAGGGCTGACAATGGCAGGTCAATGAAGTGACACGGAAATACGTTTTGATTAGACTGATGTTATATAAATGACCCAAAATGCTCCTGTAAAGATAAACGGCACAGTGGTGCAGTCGTTAGCACTGCTTAACTTTCCACAGTCCATGATCAGTTAAGTGGTGATTCTAAATTGGCCAGAGATGTGAGACAGATAAAGTGCTTGAGTCATCAGTAAGCCTAGAATAGAGTCTAATCTTACTGACCAGGACACCAAATTAGTGAGAACTAAACTAGAAAAACAAGGTGACAGTAATGAATGAGCAAATGAAAAACAAGAAGAAAAAGAAAAGCAGCTCCAGCTCCAAATAAGACGAGACAAGCTGTCCTCTGGCTGGGAAACCTGTTACTCAACCAACTTTGAAAGCAATTTTCAAAAGTTGGTCGTTAATTGTCTGCATCCAACAGAGCTGTGAACAGTGCTGCGAGGCACCAGTGCCAAAGGACACCTTGTGCTTATCAGAGACATGAGCAAAATAAACACTGACAAAACAAAAATATTTAGTCCCCCTGAGATGAGAACGGGTAGAGAAAGCTGCATAAATATTTGGTATAGTTAAACAGATACAGAAAAAAAAGTTTCATTTTGTCTTCCGTTGTCTTTTATTAGGAACCAAGCTGTGCACTACAAAAGATTCTTCCCAAATTCATAACACGTGCATGAATCCTGAGGGACGGCGTTTCTAATTGTTTGCACGTTTGCGTGTCTATGTGGACTCCACGTTTTCACTGTATTCCTGTTTCAAGGATAAGACTCAATTTAAAAATGCAAAAACATTTTGTTGCACATCCTCTCCAGTAAGTCTGCAGGTATTAAAATCTAATCAAAATGATAATCAAGACTAAGATTTATACAAAGTCTAATCTCTTTACCTGTACTGCTTCCCAGCCCCACTGTCGGTACTTGGGGTCATGGGTGAACCTCCACATGTACCAGTAGGTCTCGATGACCTCCGGCCGCAGGATGTAGTACTTCTCATTCTGCCGAACAGCCACCGCCTCCAGGCCGCTGTCGAACTTGAAGGCCTCTGGGCCGAGCTTCAGCACTTAAGAAAGAGAAAGAAAGGGGAAATGTAAAGGAAAGGCCAGGAGGTAGAAGAGAAGGGAGTAAAGGTAAAATTGGAAGAGAAAAAGAGGCAAAAGGGACAAGAAGAAAAAGGCAGAAAATAGTGGAATGAATCAAGGATGTGATAGAACAGAGAGAGGAAGGAAAAGAGTGATCAAATAATTAATGGTTGAAAAGAACAGAGAGGAGATAAAGATTATCTTTTGCTCCATGCTTGTCTTAATATGAAATAGTGCCTGTGTGTGTAAGCAATAAAAAGCATCTCAACCCACTGATTTTACAGGCTTTTCTTCTTTTTACAACCACTGCTTTCTGCCAATGAAGTGTGATAGGCATTAAGAGCCTGAGTGGAAAATTACAGAGGCTGACAAAACAGTGACAGGACTGTCCCTGAAAGGATTAAACACACTGACATGCATACGTATGTGTTGACGCACACATTTAATAGCTCCCATTAATGGCTGCTTATTAAGAAACAGGCCAACTTTAGACAGCCTGACCACAGCTATCAAATTCTGACTCTCTCCCTTTCTATTCTTTATTTGTCTCTTTCTCCATCTTCATTTGTTGCCATGGTAATCCCTCCTCTCCTCTCTGTCAAGTAAATAGTATATTTTTTATGCTTGCAGGAAATGGCAATAAATAAAGCATTAATAATAAAAAAAAAGAGCTGAAAAACAGGTACTTTACTAACTGCATAGTTTCCAATTAGGACAAGCAGAATTAATTGTTGGTTGAGTCACTGGGAGGATTTTATAGATGGATTTACTGCATGGGCAATCTCAGGGCCTGGTGATAAGATCTATTTTTTATGTGTAAAATGTATCAGTGCATATAAAATATTAGTAACTGGATATTAAAATACAGTACGTATGTAAAATATTTTAAACGATTTGTAAATTAGTTGCTTAAACCATAAATAACGATTGGATCAAGTCAAATGGAAATTGTCAATCTGCTAGCATGAGTGGGTGATTTTCCGAGCTACAGTACTGGCTCCAGTGGGTGACCCGAATGCTAATGCTGCTAGCCTGAGTTTACAGGAGAACTGGAGCTTTGAGACAAGTGACAGTGATGCTAGCACTACCAGGCTGTGCTAAGAGGGAAACTGACTGCGTCCTCTGACATCTACTGTAGAGGATAACGACACCCATTCAACATTTTCCTAACGTATATAGTTAAGACTATGTAACACTACCTGTCAGCATCTGATCCACACCAACATTAAATGTTTAGGACAGGGGTGTCCAAACTCCGGCCCGTGGGCCAACTGCGGCCCGCGATCCATTTTTAATTGGCCCGCAAGTAACTTTAGAAATAGAATAGAATATGGCCCGCACTTCAACTTTTGCTTGAGTGTATTGCACTTCTTAGTTTTAACACCAGGGGGAGCTCCTGTCGATCAAGGCAGTTGCTCCACCAAAAAGGACAATCACAGAAGAAATTTACCCCAAGTTACCAAACATGGCAGAACCAAAGAAGCGAAAGGTAGAATGTGAATGCAGAAAATTTCAGACATGGTGGGAGAGTGAATATTTCTTCAAAGAATTCAAGTTGAAGTGTGTCTGTTTGATCTGCACTGAAATTATGGCAGTTATGAAAGAGTATAATGTACGACGTCATTATGAAACCAAACATTAGGCCTATGCATCCTACACTGGTGCTGAGCGAGAGCAGAAATTAAAGCAAAGGGTAGCTCTCCTGCGGGGTCAGCAACATTATTTTTTTCGTGCTCAAAAGGTCCAGGAAAAGGCTACAATAGCCAGCTATGAGGTCGCCCAACTCATCGCAAGACATGGCAAGCCTTTTTCAGATGGAGACCTCATAAAACACGGCCTCATTAGTCACCGAAATAATGTGCCCGGAAAAAGTGCAGGACTACAACAATGTCAGGGTGTCCAGAAATCCAGTTGTTGAAGACTCGTCAGCCAACATTAAACTGCAACTGTCTGATAAAGCTGTGCTTTTGATTTTTACTCCATCGCATGCAATGAGAGCACCGATGCCACAGACACCGCACAGCTGCTATTTTTTTGCGGGGAGTGGACGAGAGCACGAGCGCTTTAGGTGAGTAAAAAATATATTCCACAGTACCCGTGTGTTAATGTGCAGGTACACATGCTTCAAATATCAGTAATGCGCATCAATTCTGTCACTACCCTGCTTTTGCGCACCACTTTCTTATATGCGCTTTTCTTGTTAACACACAGAGTACACACCGCTGTGCACAGCGCACGTACACGCAAAGTCAGCTGATCTCATCTGATGCAGATTTGCTCCTTGATCAAGTGACATTTGTCTGGATTTTTGGCACGAGTGGTGATCAGCACCGCAGCTGGATGTCCCGATTTACATACCCAGCGCAGCTGATACTCACCAGAATAATTTACTAAAATTATATGCACTC